TATTCCGCACTCAGATCCATAAAGCATTATTGGTTTTACAATTGCCTTATAAAATTTTTCTTTAAATTTTAAAGATATCCAATGATCACACAAGACTCATAATCTTCCTCATCATTTCAACTATCTTAATTTTACTTTATGAATAATATTCTCTCTATCTTGTTGAATAATTAATCCAAAATACCGAATGCTTTTACTTAAAAGAATATTTTCATCTTAACTTAACTTTCTATCTATTCCTAGAATTACTAAAATTACATCTTATATATTCAGATTTAGTTCTATTTTACTAAAACATTTAGTTTCTCAGTATAGTCTCCATAATCCAATGCATATCAACAAAATTAAAAGACAACAATTAGTTTACAGAAATAATATTAACAGTCTATGATTAGATATCTAGTCACATTTATGACCAACAGTGCATAAACAATATCCATATCAGAAGTCCCTGATAAACTAAATCCATTAATTGCAATAAATATATTTAGACATTTATAACAAAATTATTTAAACATCTTTGTGGTTTACAATCTAGAATGAAGAATCCTCTTTTACCAAGCCAAATATATCATATTTCAATCCTTCCTCTCAAGTAAATCCTTTATTAGAGTAAAAATATCAAAACAAGATATTGAACTATAAATATCTATGGTGCTTACACCTGTAGTTTGTTAAAATTTCCTAGCCAGATCAAAATTATAGACCCAAAATTAGAAGCAAAAGAATAATGCTTAACAAATATTAACCTGACAGGAAAAGTCCTTTCTGGATAGCAGTGGTTCAAGGCAGCACCAAGAAGTCCAAATACTTGTTGAAGTGAAGGAGTTACCAGTTAGTAGTTAGTACAATAATGATGACTCAAACTATAGCGGGAATTCCATCAGGATATCAGTGATTTTATAGATAATCTATCCATCTCCAAATAATTCAATCTTCTACTATCACAAAGATATTATGAAGATGATCAGGAAAGATGATGTCTTAAGTTTACTAATACACAACAAGGTAAGAATGACCAATATAACCACTTCATGCTGAATCCTGTAACTAATAATTAGCTCCAAATAATCAACAGCAGAAAAGCAAAAACTAACCTAGCTCATCATCTTTTAAAATTCAAACTAACGTGGAAGACAATATGATATCTTTAAGCCATATAGTTTCACATTCCATTTTAGAGTAGCAACTAGGAAGTTCACTAACTTTTGTTTACCAAGGTAAATTCATACATGTGGTGGAGAAGTGATTTCATATTTCCAGTTTAAAAGCTATGCTCTGAACCTCAGGGACCATAGCTTGCTGATGACCGGAGCATAAGTATAGCCAGTTCATGTCTAAGGCAAATTATAAAACCATTACTTGTGCCTGAAGTAGATGGAATTTAGACCTCAACATATGTTTGTTATTAAACACTTTTATTTACCCAATTGCAACTGCATAATCTGTTCACTTTTATTTAATGATATTAAACACCTTCAAAGAATCAAATATTTGAAGCAGCAAAGCAACATCTGGCATTTGAAAAGAATGACAATGACCTTTCCAGAACCTATTGTGAATGTTGTAATTCTTTCATTATCAGCTCTGCATCATTTTGAGAAACCACAAGTTACAAACTTATGAGGCATTTATCAATCACAAGAACTAATATCGGAGTTTTAAACAGAAATCAAGAAGCAGAGATGCATAAAACACAGTTTAGAAAAGCCAAAAATCTGACAGGCAGGAGCGGGGAATTTTCCGCAATGGGTGAAAGCCTGAAGAAGCAATGTCGCATGGAGGTGGAAGGCCCACGGGTCATGAACTTCTTTTCTAGCAGATTATTCACATGTCAGACATGCTGTTCATATGAGAATTGTTGTTCTGCTTGACACATTTCACAACACTATATACATATTGAAAATTTTCATTTCAAATTATTATTATGCTTACCTTACAGAAACTGCAGAGTTTCTTACAAACCAAACTGCATATGCATGTTCACTATTTGCAGTTTAAGCACAAATAACACAAAACCCAGTCATAATGGGCAGACGAGATCAATTCCCCTGTCTCACAACTACTATAAATAAGTGAACTTGTAAGACAAAAGGCATGACCGGGTTCTTCTAAATATTAAATCTTTCTCATTTCTCTCTCCCTCCCCCTCTTCTATGTGTGTAATATATATATATATATATATATATATATGGAAGACAGTAGTCTCATAAAAGGAGATCCTTCCAACCAATATAGTAACAGAGCTAACATATCCTTCATGATCTTCTTCAGTGCTCTACCCCAGATTGGGGTCCTCCTTTGCAACCTCATGAACTCCTGCTAAACACCACCGTAATCTTTCCCGGACTCCTACTACAAAGTCCCAAATGGTGACTACTATGACGCAATTTTTTATTCATCCAATGGTCAATCAACAACTCTAACATAGTTTTCCACATGACTACCCTGGCATCAATGCCAAGCTTATCATAGATATGAGGAGGGTCCACATAGATCTATTGATTGGAAAATTCATCTAGGTTGACCAACCAACTTCATAGATCAATCAGGTGTCAATACTACTGCAAGAATTACACTGATGAGCTTAACAAATTATCAATGATCTGAACAACACCAGAGGATACTCTATACCAACTGCATTCTCAACCATATAGTAGGATGTTCAATAAAAATTACCAGTTGTCACAAGCCTAAGAGATGTTTGGCTAGAATTATGGAGTTGTAAAGTCCAATTTGGATAAAGCCTACAAAGTACTAAGATCCACCACTACAAATCCTCCACGACAATGATAGTAGCTCCAAAATAACATATTTGGAAGTCGAGCAAACACCACTACAACTATTATTGCCAATCAACAAAATTATGCAAACCATCTCATCAACTAATAGTGCAAAATTTGTAAAATGAAGATGCCTAAGTAGCCTAAAAATATGTTAATTTGCACTTCCACCAACAGTAAAGAGAAGGACAAAGATCTCAAAGGGATGTTGAAGATTGATGGAAAAGATGTGTACATGTTTTATTCAAATCAAAGTGCCCTTGGACAAAATATATATTAGACGTGACTCCATTGCAACCCTACAATATTTATAAGATAGAATTGATGAGAACAACGTTGCCAAAGTCACACCAGTAGCATCTGAAGATGTTCCTTGTGAAGAAGAATATCACAAAACAACTTTAGAAGTCCCTAAATCAATTTTTATGTCCACTAGAAGATATTGAAAAATTCAGCCTACAGCAGCCTTACAGTTCAACAGCATTGCAGCTGTTGCTAGGATCTATTAAGTAGGGTTTTGGGCATCATATACTGTTAGAAATCAGCTTAGAGCTCTGCAGCCCTAATACGACTACCTCAAACCATCACAGTCAGATGACTTTTTACGATCCTAGATGATCCAATTTAGCCAACAAGTGTTTCGGACAACATTAACTGACTCGCAAGAACAATTTAATCTTCATCTTAAATCCTAAACTCGATGGTGGGCTCCTAAAAGATCCGAGCTCGATCTAGCTGGTCTATGTCAACTGCCAAAGGCCAGAAAATTCTCCCAGCACAGTGCATAACCCCATTAAGCTAACCCTTAGATTAAGCTATTAATCACAGTCCAACAGTTCGATTATGTAGTGCAAGTACATTCAACTCCCAAAATTTTGAACTCAGAACTGAGAACCAGACCTAGAACAACGCGTAATTACATCTAAATGAATTAAAAGCTTAGAGAGAGAGAGAGAGAGAGAGAGAGAGAGAGAGAGAGTCATGGTGAATAGTAGCAGTTGATCGGAAAGGCAAGTCTTTCTGCCCTGCCGGCGTAGAACCAATTGGCACCGAATCGTATGAAGCCACCAGCCAAAACAATAAATATCACCTCAACATTCTAAGCAAATCGAAATAAAGGAGGAGGATGAGATAAGAGGACAACGAAACGTCGAAAGAAGCAGACCAGATGCCGACGACGCCGTAGGGTAGTGACGACGAAAGACGATGCCAAGGCTGAAGCGAATGAGCTTCGGCCCATCTCAAGCGGTGGAGCGACGGCGAGGAAGCAGAAGGGGGGAAGAGGAACGCAAACAGAAGAGCACGGAACCGAAGCCGGAGACCGGTCGAGGGCGGCTTCTCTTTTCGTTCTCTTATTGATTTATGTCGGCGGGAAGAGATCGGGATACGGATGCCTCACGTGGCGAACACGTGATAAGAGCCACGGGATGCCCCACTTAGGCCGTTTTCTTCTCTTCGTTTCCCCTCTTAAACTTTAGATTTTTGTTTCTGGGATTAGAATATGATGGATTGTATTGGAGCAAGGCGATTAGCATCATCAGTTTCGTTGGGCATGCACACCCACTGTTTGTCTTATTGTCTTCTGCACGCCACCGCCAACCAGGCCTCATCATTGTTCACGCTTTCAGAATATTTCCCATGCAATACAGAAGAAGACCCATTATCAAGCATGCGCTGCTGCACCAAGTGTTGTAATTTTCAAACTACGTTGCTCGTTGTGTTTATGGGGATCAGTATCTACGTTGCTATGAAGAAATTCTCAAGGTATACTGAATTTGATGGATTGTATTGGAGCAAGGCGATTAGCATCATCAGTTTCGTTGGGCATGCACGCCCACTGTTTGTCTTATTGTCTTCTGCACGCCACCGCCAACCAGGCCTCATCATTGTTCACGCTTTCAGAATATTTCCCATGCAAGACAGAAGAAGACCCATTATCAACCATGCTCTGCTGCACCAAGTGCTGTAATTTTCAAACTATGTTGCCCATTGTGTTTATGGGGATCAGCATCTACGTTGCTATGAAGAAATTCTCAAGGTATACTTGCATGAATTCTAAGTTGGGAGAGGGTATACTTCTTTTTTGCATTAACTAACAATTTGTTTTGATGTTCAAAAGAAAACAATTGTTGAGAGAATTTTGTCAAGAAATATGTTTTAGACAATGTATCTTGTTTCTGACTGTTATGTGCATGAAGTACTTGAGCACTTTAGGTTCTTGCACTGCACCTGTGATTTATAATCACTACGTTTATCTTTTTTTCTAAATAGCTACGATTCATTGTGCATAATAGTTCTTTAGGGGGTTGATATTGATGTTGCTGTGTTGTAGGGTTTACTAACTTGCAGAAACTCCCATGGATACATTATTCTATTTCAAATTGCTATAAATCTGTGAATATTAACTAAGGACAGTATTATTCTATTTCCGTTCACTCTAGAAATCTATTTATTTACTTAGTGCATTGTTTATTTGTTTTTCCAATATGTTTATGCCCAGCAGATGAAGGCAGCAAATTGGCCCTCCAAGAAATTTGTTTGCAAGGAAGTGATCTATGTTTAGTAGTCAGCCTTTATGATCTTCTATGGTGCTTTGTTTGACTTCAACAAATTTTGAACTTTGTACATAGTAGTCTATAAATCTCTAATCTTTTATTATTATTATTATTATTACAGAAGAAAGTCCAAAGTGGAGCTGATGAGGAGTAAAAACTCAATGTGTTAAAATGAGCATATATGAGCCTTTGCTTTGTCAACCATGCATGATGGTGATGTTCAGGTAGTAGAGTGGCCCAGAGATGCATATTCCTTCATCCTTGGTTGCTGAGTGTATCTCCTTCTTTTGTGCCAATTGGATATGGTGGAATGAAATATCTGAGAAAAAGTGAATGGTTCTTGTGTTTCTGACATGTTTAGCATATTGCCTTTTCTGAACTCTAATCACATCACTTCTCTTAATTTCTTACCTTAGGAGTATGTGTGAGGCACTCATCAACTCAATTTAGGATGAGAAAGGTTGATATGTGACTCTGCTATTGTTGCCTTCTGAAACATTGGAGTGCATATTACAGCCTACTTTGCCTCTGCCTATCTTCAACAGATACTACTCATACAAATCCTCTGAGCATCTGATTACTTAAGTAGCAGTTGAGCCCCAAAGATGAAGATTATGCTCCCACATTACCAGGTTTTACATTTTTCCTGCTTGAAACAGCAAACAGAAGCTTCTTTAAAGATGATATTACACTAGCCATATGCTAAACATGTCAGAAACACAAGAACCATTCACTCATCAAGCATTTGCTAGGAGAGATACTTGTTCTCAAGATGCTGACCTTTCAATACGCAGTGACAGGTTTGTAGATGCAGCAACTCCATAATGTGCTGAAAATTACATCTCAAGGAGGGTAAGCAACACAATGTACATTCATCTTACCCACATAGGTAAAGAAAGCAGTAGCAGTAAGCCAAAACATTAACTCAGAGATCTGTGGTTTGTTTTGTCTCCATCATCTCAGAATCATCAGAGCCAGATAGCTCCTGCGTCGCGGAGCAGCGGCACAAGCTTGCCACCGAGGTGAAGGGACATGACCTTGTCGGTTGGTCCAACAAGGTTGCCGCCGATGAACACGGCGGGCACCGGCGAGTTGCAGCCCAGCATTCTCGCCAGTGCTCGCTCCATGTCCTTCCCGTTGGGATCCTCGTCGAGCTCGTGGATCCCCGGGTTCACCCCCAGCTCGCAGAAGAGCCGCTTGATGGTGTGGCACATGCAGCATGAGCTCAAGCTGAAGACCACCACCGCCCGCTGCGACGCCAGCCTCATGACTCTGTCCATTCGGTGCAAGATGCAAGTGTTCTTGCAAGCTAGAAAGAAAATAAGATGATGCAGAGCAGCACCAAAGAGTTGAGGAAAGAAGAGCTTCCCCCCGAAGAACTGAAATGGTGATGAAGCTGAGATGACTGATTAATGGATATAACCAGGCTGAGAAGACTTTGAAGAAGATAAGGAAAACGGATCTGTATCGGTGAAGGTGTGCTGGTTGGAGCTCCTCCCCCATTGTGATCTCTATATATACTGGTGCAGACGAGTAGTGGATTGCAAATGCCAATGTCCCACAGCATATTTTTGCTGCATGCCCGAAGATGATTGTTCTGAAATGGTCCGTGAATTCCTGATGTCAAAATTGCCCTTATACTTTGTGTCTGTGACAAGGCTTGTATCCCTCCTTTTCATGAGTCGCTAGTGGCAGCATCTTGCCACCAGGTGATGCCTTGAGCACAAGCTTCCTGTAAACCTTTAACTTCCCTTTCATTTATGTCCCAGAAGCTTGAAGGAGAAAGGCACACTGTGGCCTTTGGCACTTCAATGCACCACACATGTTGAAATTAAGATGCGCACAGTAAACATGTATGAAGGAGGAATTCGTAGCTCAATTCCTGTTCATGACTTGTTGAGGGTGACTGGGAAGACCTTCAACATTGAGCCTGACCATGTTTTTGGATCAAGGAGTCACCACAGTCTTCTTTAACCATGGTGGAAAGAGTGTCCCAGTAGAATGAGAATATTGACTTGAGGACAGAGGGGCCATTTAGTTCAAGAAAATTTATAAAGAAGACTAAATTATTATATAAGAACTTGGAAAATAAGCACTTATATCTCATTTAGAATAAGTCAAAGGTACATTAATTTTATCTTCTTTTGCCTCTCCTAGGATTAGTAATGGTATAAGCAGAGGGGTTTACTGTTTTATCATAATGTTAAGTTTCTTTGAAGCTTTAAAATATTTTTAAAAGTATATAATTATGATTTATTTGTGTTCATAATAAAAAATTACTATATTATTAAAACTCAATTGAAGATGCCACTAAATTTGGTTGGTAAAAACTATCTCTTCTTTACTGTGTAAGTACATATCAAGATAGATAAAACATCTAAACCACAAGATAAGTAAGACAAATAAAACTAATAATACAAGTAAATCTCTCTAAACCATACAAACATTAAGGAAGATATATATATATATATATATATATATATATTATTGAACATACATTTTATAGAATTTAGTCTGCTTACTAGACTATGTTATATTCTATTTTATATGCATTATATGATAATACAATATATCAGATTAGCTTATATTATACATGTAGCATCACATCATAATTGTTTTGGTGCACAACAAAATGGTCAGAAAGTATGAAATAAAATAGTCATGTTTTCTTTGCTCCCAGTTTTATCTGATATAGATAGTAGCTATTAGTGACCATAATAATCATTAACTAATGTTGAAATATAGTTAAGACAAATGCATGCAAAAAGAAACATAACCTTAAACTTGGTATTATCCTAATTTCTTGTATAAATAACAATAAACACTTGGCTTGCAATCCTTGCAAAAATGACAACAAAGGAAAACAAGTCTCTGTCTGAGGAGGAGAGTGAGTGGACTTCATCCAAATGCCCATCCTCTTCCTTGCAAGATTACTTCTCCACCCACTTCTATTTTTAATTTGTATTTTGTTGCTGCAGTTGCAGTCCCCAGATTTCTTGCATGGCTTATAGTATTCTTCATTATAAAATATCAGATGCCGACCAAGAAGTCCAAGGTGAACAGTCGACGGTGAGGCAAGGAACCTGGCTCCACCCATGGTGTTCGAGGTTCTCTTTTCCTCGGAGGAATAAGAGAAGCAAAAGAAGTCCATGTCCCTCGTGGAGACGACGCTGTCAACGTGAGTTTATCCTGGGACGATAATGATAACAAGTCAGTCTGAGCTGTCGTGTAGATGCAACATTCTGTGGCCTATGGCACGTACGGCCTGTAGCTTTCGGCGGCCGTCTCGATGCGGATTTTGATCGAACATCTTCCCGGCATAATGTGCGAGTTTCACGTTGGAAGTCATGCGTGCAACACGAGGATTCGACAGTCCATGGTCACGCCGACCACGTGCAGCTGGTCAACCCTACGAACCCTGATTTTGACCCTTTCGATTTTTTCCCCCACAAAATTGTCAACATAAAATTTCAACTGCAGTCAATATCTGTTTGATTCATTTATTAGATTATTTGAATCTTAAAAATTTTATAAAAATGTAAGTCTTTATTATTACTTGAAATACCTTTTTACTGCTGTTTTTCGATGAATCGATCCAATTTTAGTGTTTTTACACCAAAATAATATAATTATGTAAAAATATTATGATTCATAAAAATAGTATAAAAATATTATAAATTTTGTAAAAAAAATATTATGTTTATAATATTTGAGAATTTTAGAAATAGAGCAAGAAAAACTAAAAAAGATAACTTTTTTTTTGGGACTTCACCCTATTTAATTTTTTTGGTAGGATTAATTTCTTTTAGTTATAAAATGAAGGAAAAAAATCTATTTTTATGTTATTTGTCATTTTTCCCAGCATCCTTTTTATTATATTATAAGATAATTTTAATTTATTTTATTAAAAAATTGAATGTGCGAGCGCTTTTAATTTTACATCACTAATTGCAAACATCATTATATTATTACACAAGCGATATGCATAAGGTTTGAAAACGTCGTATACATCAATAAAAGTAATAAAAATATTTTTTTATTTTTTTAAAATTTATTTTTAGTATCACACAGGACATAATAAATGCACATAAATAATTAATTGATCGGATTCTTCCATAATATAACAATTGCATGAAAGCAAATTAATTGTTATACAATGGAAGTTTCTGATTAATTTATTCTTGGGCTTCAAATTAGGAAACTTAACTTATTTGTAAAAGATAAATTTAATTATTATATTATGGATAAAGATTCTTTATTTATTTGGGAGATTCAAAATACTAAATTTAATTTTGCATGGAAAAACTAACATTAATTATTATACTACAAAGAAACTTAATTAATTTTTTAGGGGCTTCAAAATACGAAACTTATTACAAATATAAACAATCTCTTTCTTTTTTTGGAGAATAAGTTCACTTGAGGAAAATAAATATGTATGTATATATATTATGTATCTCGAACAACTTAGTAATGGCTCATGATGCGATGTCACATGATAGTCCTATGGCCGAGGCCGTGGCATCGAATGAAGTTACCGCTGCCGAAATCGAAGAGGTCTCACCATCGTCGACTGACTTCAATGGAGGTGAGCTAATGGATTGCTGCACAGATGATGCCTTCTTCGACACCGTGGAAGAGCTTTAAAGACTTTTCGACCCCCGTCATCATCAGAAGAGCCCCTTATGCTCGCCCGTTGACCTTGGTGGAGGTCAGCCGGTGAATTGCTCCATTGATGACTTCGTCATACCCGATAAGGTGATCGATACCTTCTTGGCCTCGCCATCTCCAGACGACCTTCACGGTGAACAGGAAAAGACCATGGTTGACTCCACTACAAACCCAGAGACCTTGGTGGAGGTGAGTCGAGTGTGAGATGATGGAGTGCACGGACAATGCCTTACTTACTCATGTCCACGGACGTCGGTGGAGGTGAGCCGATGAACTGCTTGGATGATGTGGCCTTCGGCTTTGCTAATGAGGAGATTGAAGCCTTCATGGCCTGGTTAGCGTCAGACGACCTTAGCGGCGAGCAGGTGAAGTGCGCAGACAATTCCTTCTTCCAGTGCTCGAACGACGTTGATGCCTTCCGGTGGTCTGATGACATCCCGATCGACTGCACTACAATCCCAGCGACCCTGCCATCGTCAACCAACTTGGTCGGGCGTGGGCAGACGAAGTGCATGTCCCAAGAAGAGGTTGCAGAAGCTTCGTCATCGTCAACCAATCTTGTTGGAGGTGACCAAATGCTGCCTACTTATTGTTTGATGACACCCCCATTGACTCGACCGCAATCCCAGAGGCTTCATCATCGAATCCTGCTGAAGGTGAGCAACTGATGAAGAACACATAAAATATGTCATTTACATCTGCGGAAGAAGTTCAAGCCATCTTCCTGTCTAGCTTAGGAAATATGTTCTTCTCCTACAGTGTAATTGTGTTATTTGTCTGAAGCATAGAACAAGAATATATGTTTATGTAAGTAAAGACAACAGAACAAGAATAAATGCATCACCTAAGTTTTCTTTGTAATAATCTTTGAGTGAGTTTGACACCGACCTAAAAATATATCGGATGAGGCTTCAAACCCTTAATCCTTGATAAATGATGACAATATGTGTAGTGGATGAGGGCTTCATTGACTTTGAATTTAAGAAACTTATTATTATGGATATGCTAACCAAAATTTGAATTGCATGAATCAACAGAGTGCTCAAATTCATGCATTGTATAGTTAAAACTAGAAATGTGGAATCTACAACATCTAATACAGTCATGAAAACTTATACTTTGATTGACCATATGAAATAGATAAACTCTGTCCATGTTAGATTAGATGACTGGTCTTTGATATGGGGATAAGATTAGGAGTTTATCATAGCACTAAATAGTGATATCCATGAAAGCTGTAGAAATTAGGATCTAAGAATTATTAGATGATTCTTGTTACCTAAATTTTACTTATATAATGATCAAGGGGAAAAAAATAAAAGAACTTTTTTTAATTGAAATACTTGTAAAAAATAAAAATAATTACAAATAATATTTGTAGACAATTCCATTGTCTAATGCGAATTATAGAGTAATCACAAATGTTGCCCCTTATTTACCGACGTCGTCCCAAGCTTTTAGGACGGGACATACCAAACAACGCCTCGGTACGGATTCTGATTTGGCGTGTGGGGGTGCTCCCCTTGCTAATTCGGCTATAGCGCGACGTGGCATCGGTTGTGACATGTCTTGGACCTAAAATATACCTTATCAAAACTCTCAATTTTATTTATTTTTATCGTATAACTTTCAAAAATAAATGATGTAATCTTCGTGATCAAATCGTGTGCCCTTTTGCAACAAAAGTGTCTTCTCAAACTTATGTGGTCTCCACGATCAAAGCATCTCATTGTGTTTGATGCACTAACAAAATATATGTAAGATCTTTATGTTCAAAATATCACTTTATACTTGATGTGATGTATTTGATGTAGCCATCGTGACCAAAGTATCTCTAAGGTAATACGATATTTTCACTTTAAATAAAAACACTTGAGGCACTCCGACTATCGAGTTCCTATATATATATATATATATATATATATATATATATATATATATATATATATATATAT